CCCGTCTTCCAAAGGCCGTGCCCTGGTGGTCCCCGAGTACCGCCACGTCAGCATGCGGCTGAGCGCGACCATCCCCACCATCGAGCAGCTGGCAACCTCTGCGGCCACCTTCCTCACGGCCATGGGCTACGACAAGGTGAGGCGGCCCCTGGGCGACCACTCGGCGGCAGTTTGCGGGTGGCAGACACTGGGTCGGGTTGAGCAAGCGGCTGAGGGTACCTGCGGCAGCAGCGTGGTTGCGAGCAGCAGGGGCGGGGGCGCGCGGCGCTCTCCCAGGCCCTGCAGCAGCAGCGGCTGCAGAACGGGGCCCGCCGTGCGCCCCTCAGCGCGCCCCTGGCCCCGCCGTACGCCGGGCCCCGCCCCCTGCGCCGCACGCACCCGCGGCCGGCATGCTGGCCGCGGCTTGCGTCCTCAAGACCCGCGCGCGCCGCTGACGCGCGGGCCCTCCGGCGGTGACGTCATCGTCGACGCCCCTACCATTCACCCCCCCCCCACGGCCTCCTCGCCCTCCCCATTGTGCAGGTACACCTGATGGGCCACTCTTACGGCTCCATGGTGGCCTCGCGCTTTGTGCAGCTGCACCCCAAGGCAGTCACCACCCTGACACTCCTGGACCCTGTGGGTGGCCCACCTGGGCTGTCGCGCTTTGTTCTTGCGAGCCGAGGGCGTCGGTGGCGCCAGGGGGCAACCAGGGCCGGCTGCACCCGTTGGCGTAGCAGTTAGGGTGCTTGCGCTGCGCCGCGGCCGCCGCCTTGGAGGATTAAAGATTTTGCAGACTGCGCGCCGGCAACTAGTGTGCTCCAACGCGTTTTCTGCACTGGTTTCAGATTCGCCCCCCGATTCGACTCCTGGTGCCTTACATCCCTGGCCTGTCCCGTGCGCCGCAGGTGTGCTTTGGCATGTTCATGCCGACACTGCTCTACACGTTCCTGTACTCCTTCCCTGCCAGCGGCAACATCATCATCGACGCCGGCATGTGAGCGGCCCCGGCTCGGCCCGGCCAGCACGTGCTTCATTCAGGATATCAGTGTTGCCCGTCGCTCGCCAGCACGCTGCCAGACGCTGATTGTATCTCGTGCGCTTGGCTGGGGTGGTGGCTGTCGGCTTGAATCTCCCTGCTGATATCCCCGCTGTACCCGAAGTTGTGCCAAATTCAATTACTATCTTGAAGGTACTTTGTGTCGCGCGAGCTCCACATGACAGCCACCTTCTGCAGGTGCGGCCGAGGGCCCTACGCGCATGCTTGGGGGGGACCTCTTCGCCATTGTGCGCTCCTGTAGAAGTGCGGGATGGCGCTGAATGGCCATGGAAAGTATGTATAAATGGGGGGACGGCAACAGCGCGGCGCAACAGTGCTTTGACCCGTGTTGACCCAGGCCAACCCCGGCCTGCCTTGACGGCCCCGACACGTCAACTTCCGCAGGCAGTTCTACTGGAGCGACTACAACCTGTGGCCCGAGTACCTGCCCCGCCACACCCTGGCCGTGCTGGGCGGGAAGGACCGCCTGTGCCAAGCCGAGGAGATCCGCGTCTGGCTCGTCAAGGAGACGAACGCGCGGCTGATGTACGACCCCGAGGCCGTCCACGCGGCCATGCTCATGCAGCCGGGCTACATCGGGCAGATCCTTCGCGAGTGGTGGATTATGGTAGGGGAGGCCGAGGCCGAGGTTGAGGCTGAGGCGGAGGCCGACGGCGCAGCGGCGGGCACGGCGATTGCGGAGATCTATGCGCCCACAGCAGCCGCAGCGGAGCCCCCACTTATCAAAGCGATCGCCGCCAAGGAGGCGGCCGTCGCCGAGGCCGTCGCTGCCGATGGCGCCGCGCGGCACGACCAGCAGCAGCAGCACCAGCAGCACCAGCACCGGCCGCCGCAGCACCCCCGCGAGCGCGCGCGGCGGCGGCCCAACCCCTTCTTCAGCACCGCGCACGCGCACGCGGCCGCGGGCAGCGGCGTCTCCGCCGCCAAGAGCGCGGCTGGACATGGCGCATTCGTGCCGCCCCAGGCATCTGAGCCCGAGGTGGAGGGCCTGATGCGGCAGCTGCGCCAGCAGCAGGAGCGCGTGCGCGCGCAGGAGGAGGCAAACCTGGCGGCCGCCCGGCAGCTGCTCGCCATCGCCGAGGCGGTCCGCCGCAGCCAGACCGCGCCGGCCGGCGGCGCCGCGGGCGCGGCGCCGCGCGACGCAGACGGTGGCGCCAGCAGCGACGCCAGCAGCAACCTCGACAGCGCGTCCTCAATCGACTCTGACACCATCGCCGCGGTGTTCGCACCCGGCGCGGCGGTCAGCGGCGGCCTCGCGCGGCAGTACAGCGGCACCGCGCTCGCGCGCGAGGGCGGCAGCGACATCGCCGTCCTCGACGGCGGCCGGCTGTACTCGCCGCTCCTCGCGTACGCGAGCGCCGCCATGGCAGCGGACGACGCCGCCGGCCCGCGGCGCGGCACCCGGCGCGCGGCCGCGGCGCGCCACGCGCTGCGGGAGAGCCCGAGCGGGCTCGGCGGCGGCGGTGCGGCGTTTGGTGCGGGCAAGCCTGGGCTGTGGGACAGCGCGAGCATCGACCTGGGGGCCCTCGCCTATGGTGGCGGCGCGTTTGCGCGCCTGGCCGCCGGCGCAGGGGACGACGCGTGGTGATGCCCTCTTCCTCCCCCGCCCAATGCCTCCCCTTTGCCTAGATCGTTGCCCCGCCCAGCCGGCGGCGCCGCGGCAGTTGCATTGGCGCCGGCGCCAGGCGCGGGTGGTTGCTGCCCGTTCCCTAGCTGCGCCGGTACCAAATGCGGGTGGCTGCCGCCTGCTGTTTTTCTGGGCTCCTGACCAAGAAGCATGGGCTTATGGCAGCTGCCTGTAGGCAAGAAGCTGGTGCCAATGCATGATTTGTACACAATACTCTGTCCGGGCTGCCCTGGCGCCCGCATTGATTAGGCGCCTCGCAGCGCAGCGCCATGATTTGACACAACCTCGGCTGCTGAAACACGAGATCACGAGGGGTGAGCGGCCGGCCCCGGCGGCGCGGCGCCACCTGCGCGCGCCGTGGCGGGGCGCGAGGCGCGTGCACCATCGGTGTGACCCCCTGCTGATGGGGACCAGCTTTCCGCCGCAGCGTTCTACAGCAGACCACCCTGGCCCGCTGGTCAGACTAGCAGGCGGTTGCCGACCAGTAGGCGCTTGCTGAGCGTTTACCGGTATGCGCGAGCGCCCAATGCGGATGCTGCTGGCCGCCCACGGCGCGGCACGTGCGCCAAAACTGGCAGCACCCCGCCAGCCGAGGGAAGGGCTGCACCGGGGCCAAGACAAGACACATTGATTGCTAACGCCCGTGGTTTTTGTATCAATTGCTTGCGGCCTTCAAGCGCGGTGCGCTGTCGGGTTGGGCGGGCTGCCGCTTGTTGCCCCATCCGGCAACGGGGCGTGCGGCGCTCGTCTTTGACATTAGTCATGCTGCGCAAGGAACCAGCAGCAGCAGCAAGGCTGGCGCTGGGACGCGCATTCTTGATGCACCGGTCCCTGGGGGTGAGTTTTGACCCCACGAGAGCGCGATTGGCGGGACCGTTCCCGCGACGCAAGGCCACGCGCGTGCATGAGCGCGCCCCCCGCAGCGCTGCGCTGCCCATCTGGCGGCGCGCGTGCGCGGCAAGCTACAACCGCCATTGCCTGGGAGCCTTTGATCCCACAAGTGGCACCATTGCCATTTTTGGACGTGTGGCCTGTGGCCACACAACAGCGCTGCGCGGACCGCTACCCCGCCGGTTCCGCAGCAGGCAGTTGCCGCGGTAGGAACAAGTGAGCATTGCGCATGCAGAGCCCCAATCGACAAGCCGCGCCGGCCGGCTGCGATTTGTCGCCGCCGACTGCGCCTGGTTGCCGTCCACTAGAGCATCAATTCTCTAGCCGCTTGCATGAACAGTGTTTGTAGTGTTGTGGCGACAGCCTCCCCGCGCGCCCTCTTGGGTGGCATCCCCCTGATGCCATTTACACCCATTGTAAGTAAGCGCCTGTTGCTGGGATTGTCCGTGCAGGTGGCCGCAGGCGATCACGTGTCTGCCCACCCACCCCTGATGCGTCAGCTAGCCCCCCCCCCTTCCCGGCCATAGCTGCATCAGTGTCGCTGCATGTCCTCGCAGTGCAGTGCAATCAGGCCTGCGATAGCATTGCGTTCCCCAATGCGTGGCGTGCTGTGCTGATCGCTGTGCGTGAATGGCGACACGCAGATGCGGTCCACGCAGGTGTTACAGCACCACTGCACCACATCGAACCACATCAGATTGTGCTAGCAGCGCGAGAAGACTTTTCAAAGCACGTACAAGAAACCATGGAGGTCACTTTCAAAATTAAGTTACTAGACCATGCAGCCAGAGGGAAGTGTGGGTGCAGCCAGCTTTGGGATGACTAAGATGGTAAGATCCTCCCAAACACTTACAAAAGCGCGACAGGTGACAGAGTATCATGGAAGCCGCCACCGCACGGCACCCTGCACGCCCCTGCTCTTCGAATGCAGCCACTCCTGCGCCCGACCCTGTCTTGCTCATTATGATGCGTCCCCCGCACATGCCGCAGCAAACCCGAGCGCCTGCAGACGGCAAGCAGTTCAGGGGCAATGGGAGAGATGGGGGTCAGCC